CTTAGGTTGTATTAAGAAATATTTTTTTATTGTTTTTGACAAGAAATACTTATTGTGTTATCTTTTTTTTTTTTTAACAAGAAAAATATGATACTTGTTGATTATCTTTTTTTTTTTTTGACAAAAGAAGAAGATGTTGTACTACATTATTTTTTACTTGTTGTATTACTTTTTATTTTTTTTACAAGGAAAATAAAAAAATGATGCTGCCAAAGTACATTTTATTTTTTTATGCCTTTGTTTTATTTTTTTGCAAGAAATACTTGTTATGTTACTTTGTATTTTTTTTACAAGAAAAAAAAAATGTTGTATTATCTTTATCGTGAAAAGCCTCTTATTTTTTATTTTTTCTATTTTTTAACAACAATATTTTTTGCCTTTGCTTATTTTTTTGACAGCAAAATTTTTTTTGGCAAAAATATAAACGAGGACGCGCGCTAAACATCCATTGAAAAATCGAAGATGTCAACCAACGCCGCCACGTCGCCTAATGTGATTTTATTAGCTTCTATAATAATATATATTCAATCGTCTTGCTTTAATGATTTTTTGTGGGAATTATCCCACATCGAAAGATAAGCGTCGCTTTGTTCTCTATAAATTTATGTGTAATAGATGTTGCATTGTACGTGTGGAAAAGCGATGGGGCAGACATATGAGGCGAGTTACCACATGTGGAGGATTTTTAGGTGCTTAGGTGCCACGTGTTGCTCCCGTAAGGTGGCATCTAGGTTTTTTCGGTGAGACTCGCTGTTCACTATTGGGAATCGCCCATTTTGTCGGTGAGACTCGCCATTCACTATTGGGAATAGTGAATTTTCGGTGACACTCGCGATTCACTATTGGGAATCACCCGATTATCGGTGAGACTCACAATTCACTATTGGGAATAGTGAATCGCTCGGTTCTCTCGGTGAGACTCGCGATTCACTATTAGGAATCACCCGGTTCACTATTGGGAATCGTCCGGTTCTCTAGGTGAGACTCACGATTCACTATTGGGAATCGCCCGGTTCTCTCAGTGAGACTCGCGATTCACTATTGAAAATCGCCCGGTTCTCTTTGGACACGGTGAATCGCCCGGTTCTCTCGGTGAGACTCGCGATTCACTATTGAGAATCGCCCGGTTCTCTCTAGACATGGCCGACTCCCGTGAGGAGGATTTTTAGGTACTACATGTTGCTCGCATGAGGCGGCATCCAGGTTTTTTCGATAAGGATTTTTAGGTGCCACGTGTTGCTCCCGTGAGGCGGCGTCCAGGTTTTTTCGGTGAAACTCGCGATTCACTATTGGGAATCGCTCGGTTCTTCACTATTGGGAATCGCCATGTTTTCTCTGGACACGGGCGACTCCCATGAGGCAGCCATATGTAAACCCAAAAATTACTAGAATGTCCAGGTTTTTTTGGTGAGACTCGCGATTCACTATTGGGAATCTCTCGGTTCTCTCTGGACAGGGAATTGCCTGGTTTTCTCTGGACACGGGCAATTCCCGATTTTTTCGTGAAACCAGCTCTGTTGCCGACGATTACTAGAATGTCCAGGTTTTTTCGGTGAGATTCGCAATTCACTATTGGGAATCGCCCGGTTCTTTCTGGATAGGGAATCGTGCCAATTCTCTCTAAATACGGGCGATTCTCGATTTTCTTGTGAAACCGACTTGATTTCTGATGATTGTCAAATCGAACCGGACGAATACAGCTCGACTCGACGAGTTTTCACACCTTGCTTGTCCCGATAAAACTCTGTCAATATTTAAAAAGACATGGGTACTAAAGTCATTTTTACTAATTCAACTACCATTACCAGTATTCCTACGAGCTCGACATAAAAGCCTGCTCACTTCGGATAACAGACGAGCTTTTTTCGCTTTCTATAACTTTTTCTCGCATCTGTCTCCATAAACTCAGCAATTCAGTGCCCGTCTCTTTCTCTCTAGAACTGCTCTCTACTTTCTCTCTCAAGCTCTGTGTCACTCTCTCTGTACAGCTGCCCAGACCCACTTTTAGCGGGTCATCTCTCTTAACTCTGACACACTTTCTCTCTCTTAAATATTATATAATTTTCCTCGGTAATTTCATATTTTTCATTGTCTACGGACGACCTCAAACTCGAGAAACTCACAGCTTTGATTCCTGAAACCAGCAGTAAATTACCACCACCCCTCCACTCCTCTCTCTACTCTCTCTCTCTCTCCTGCTTTAGGGCTTGAAGCCTTCGAATCTCCCCCTTTTAAATTATTGAGCCTTGAAAATTATTCTCTCTCTTCTTAATGCCTTGATCTCTCTCTCTGGAGAGTTAGAAGCTCTGAACTCTGCGTCTGAAACTTTGACTCTCTTTCTCCTGCTTTAAAGCTTCAACACATTTGCAAGGTGGACAGACACTCTCTCTTTCCCTAAGGTCCTTTAAAGGCTTAAAAACTTCTCTCTGTCTTCACTTTGCAGGATCGAACAGCTGGAATCAAAGAACTTGAAGAAGCCTGTAATGGCTGTCAAGGCGACCACCAACTTCGCGGATCTCATTCACAAAGTCACCGCCTCCTGCCTCATCCACCCCCTCACTCGCCCCCACCTCCATGAAACCAACGAACCAGAGTCCCTCTCTGACTCCGAAAACCTAGAATTCCACGACGACTCCGATTCGGACTTGGAAGAAGAAGAGCAGACCTACAGAGAGTTAGGGCACAAAAAATTAGGGCAAAATCACGAGGAGGAGAACTCTAAGCTTTTGCAGAGGGTGAAAAACGTCGAAACCCTACTCTCCGAGGTCTTTGGCGCAGTGGGGGCTCTGAAATTGGCTTACGTCAGCATGCAGGCTGCGCACTCGCCGTGGGACCCGCAAGGGGTGAGGAACGCCGACGTCGGGGTGGTGGTAGAGCTAAGGCGGCTGGCCGCGCTCAGGGAGAGGTTCAGGAGGGGGGGAGGTGCGCCGCAGCCGCCCGCCGTGGTGGCGCCGTACGAGGCGGTGGTGGAGGATTTTAAGAGAGAGGTCAGAGAGAGAGAAGCGGAGGTGGCGGAGCTGAAAGAGAGGTTGAGGCATTTGGGTGGCGGAGGAGGAGACAGGATGAAGAAGATGAAGAGGATGCCCAGCGCTCGAGGCGAAGGTAAGCCCCCCTAAAGCCTGTTAGAGCTCCTCCGTACAGTATGATCCATATGGTGATGCCTGATTCTGATGATATCACCGTCCGATCATTGATTGGATAGAGATGGAGTGGGTGGATCCCCTGGAAAATTTCATCAGTTGGATCTAGACCGACTCCTGCTTCATCACTGTCCAAGCCCTTGATCAGTACGAACTACATGGTCTTTTTAGTTGGGAAATTTATAAAAATATCATAAGAGGGAAAATATTTATCTATATTTCTTATGGGATTGTTTATTTTGTAGTGACAATCATTTTCGCACTTTTGATGTCAACTTTGATGGTTTGGGATACATGAAGTTCAATATTTTTTTGAAACATCTATTTAATGACCCTTTTTTATTTTGAAATTTAAAAGACAAGAATTATTATAACTTCTTTGTACTTATTTAAGAATGATTATAACTTCTTTGTACAAATAGTAAATTGTTTTTTTTTTTTAATCCCTTTTTTTTATTTAATTTGAAAATACTCATCAAGGAAAAAGTTTATATAAGGTTTCAACCTTAAAATGTAGAACGCCTCAAAAATCCATCGAAAAAAGGTTATTTAATGTTGAAAAACCCTCTAATTGATCATCTTAAGATTAATGAATATATAAAAAAAAGATTTTAAGTTAAAAAAATAGTACATCTTGCAACACATTACCTAGACTATTAATTTTCAAGATTTTCATATGTTTTTAGATCTACTTGATTTTAACTATTTTTAGAGTTTAAAATTTTATAATTAGATATGAAAATAGATTTTAAGATAATCTTAATAATGTTTTACACTAAAATTATATGTTATGATAAAATTTGGAGGTGCGAATTAATTGGATTGTTCGAGAAAGTTATAATCACTATATCCTTGAGATTTCAAATCGGGTAGTTGTAAGAATGTCATTGAAAAGATCAAAATTTCAAAAAAATAAAATTTGGAAAATTAGTATAAGCCATCTAATTTCATATTTTATAAGTAGGAGTGATTATGACTACTCATGTACTTTGGATTTCAAATTGTGTGGTTGCAAGAGGGTCATTTAAAATGACTCAAAAGTTAAAAAAAATAAATTTATTGAACTTTATGACTAGTTTAAACCATCCAATTTGACATCTTATGAGTAAGAGTGATTGTAACCTTTTTGTAATAAAAACAAGATATTGTATACAATGAGACTATTGATATTTTATTATAAGAATGTCACAATCACTTTTACTTATTAGATGTCAAATTAGATGGCTTGCGTTAATCATGGAGTTCGGAATTTTTTTTTTTTAACTTTAGATCTTTTTGAAGACGTCGTTACAACTACTCATTTTGAAATTCAAAGGATATGAACAATTGTGATCTCCTTATACAAATAGTAAATGGTCTCTTTTTATATACTTTTTCTAAAGGTAAATGGTTTCATGGTATACAATCACATATTTAAATTGTTGAATTAAGTTTTTGATGAAGGGTGTGATTTACAAATGGCGACAATCTTATATATCCGAAGAAGGTTGCTATGTTATACACAATCCATTTTAATTGGACATTGTATATTTGACGTTGAGACACTTTCAAAAAATAGCATGATAATATTAAATCTATTTCCCAATAGAATAGATAGTGTCCAACTGTCCATTATTCCAGCGTTACTTCTATAAATGAGGGTCGCAACCTTATATAAACTGTTTCAGAAAAATTTCCATTTTTACTACAACCATATGGATCAAGGTGTATTTTTCCATGAGCCTTGTGTTATACCGTTACTAGTTTAATTTCAAGCAGTTTTAGTAGCAGCAGCTTCACAACCGTCTGATATGAGCAACGGGTGGCTGGTGTGTCACCTTTGACACTGTGGAGCGACCCTCTTGATGTGCAACTTTGAGTAGTGTCGCGTGAATATAACGGTAGTTATATGAAGCAGATACCGTTATGATGGGTTGCCGTTTTTGTTTGAAAACCATGAACAACCGAAAAAAAGAGAATTGTTTTTCAATATGGAAAATTGCAGAAAACCCCTCGTCAATTTTGTTATACACCTAATACTTGTTACTATTTTCTATTGTATCAACCTGAATTTTTTTGGGGGTAAACTGCCCCTAAATCAAATATGTGAAAATTAGTTTAAGAAAAAAGTTTATATGGGCTCCAAACAATCAAATTAGATCCCACCTAAAAAAATTCACTACAAGAGGTTGTTTTGATTTCCAAATATCCTCAAATTGATCATCTTGCCATCAAGATGCATGGACATGAGAAAAAAAAATAGATTTGAAGTTTTAGAAATAGTGCATCTTGTAAAACATTTTGGACCGTCAATTTTCAAGATTATCAAGTTTTCATAGATCTACTTGATCTACACTATTTTTTAAGCTTTAAATTTTATAATTAAAGATAAAAATATATTTTAAGGCTTTGACAAAGATTTACAGTATTGAACCACATTTCTCGACCCTATTTGAAGGTGCACTTTACTTTGGTTGTTTAGGCCTCGGCTCTATACAAACCGCACCCTTAGTTTAGAGGCCATTTTTCTATTGTATTTTATGTTTTATGAATCAAGGTAAGTTTAGCAGAGTGAATGAACCTTGGGAATAACACAAACTAAAAAAAACATTAAATTAATTTTCATGAGTTTGACTAGTTGGTGCTATGGCCATGGTTTAAAATAAAACTCTTAAGTAAAACAAGATTTAGTTGAAAATTAGTCAAAATTAATATTTTTTTGTTTGCCTGTTTTGAACCACAAAACTTCCATGAGAACAACAAAATAAGGTTGTGTGATTGTTTATCGATAAACTTCGTTTTTGAAGTAATAAATTTCATTTTTAAACTAGTAGTCATATTTTTTTCTTAAAACGGGTATCATATGCTCCTTTGTTCACTTGCTCGCAGGGCAAAAGACCAACATAGCAGGATTTTTTTTTTCTTGAAATTTTGGGATCCAAAAAATTGAATTTTTACTTTTTCAACACTTCCATTTTACAATCTAAAGATTGGAAATTTTGACTAGACCAAACCCCCAATCATGTAGATGGGCTGGATAAGACTGATTTAAAAGCATTTTTGGTTTCTTCTTGGAGGAGCATGTATGGCTCATTTTTGGTTAGTGGAAAATTCGCCAGAGGATAGGGTTTTTTTGGCTCATTTATGGGTGGGGCCATTTCTTCCTTCTGTCTTGCTCCCTCCCTCTCAAAGTAACAAACAAAGATGGAGATTGAATGGAAGACTGGGCAAAAAAGATAATGGGAGTTGGACATTAAAATAAGAGAAGAGATAAAAGGAAAAGTGCTTCCAGTAAAGAGGAGAGAGAGAAGCGGGTGAAAGACATTAAGGCTGCCCAATATCATTACATTTCTAGCCTAAAGCAATTAAATTTGCAAATGTTCACATGCTTCTTTGGGCAGTGAAGTAATGATTCTAGCTGCCTGCGCCATCCTCTCTCTCTTGGATTTTGTACGGACACAAAAATCCTAAGATACAAAATGTGCTAATTTTGTATTAGAATTACGCAGAAGGTAGGTCGGTCAACTTGAGGTTTTTTATTTATTTTTTCAAAATTACCACTCAATCAGAAGATACCGTTTTTAGATTGCATTTTGATTTATTTATTTTTCGTTAAACTTTTTTTGTAGAAGGGATTTGCCCTAGTGTTTGAGGTTAGCATCATTGGACTGCCTTATGTGGTGCTTTTCAAAGCGGTCCAAATTTGGCATCCTTGGACCGCAAAGACTGACTTTGTTAAGCATTTGGAGGCGGTTTGAGTTGCCCATTCTCGCATCGCGTCCTCTGCTCTTGGCATCCTCATATTGCATTAGCTCATTTGTTTGCTAAGAAATAAAACGGTCTGAGGATGCCAACCTTTTATCATATTGCATTAGCTCATTTGTTTTTCAAGAAATAAAGCGGTCTGAAGATGCCAACCTTGGACTGCCGTTTGGATTGGGCACTGGCCATCACACTAACGAAATAAGTAAAAAGAATACATTAAAAAGTGGTTCGAGGATGACATTCTCGTATTGACGGACAATTTTGAACATAAAAAATAAGAAACATGGGTTGATCCACTTTCCATGTAATTTTTTCCCAAAATTAATCCATTTTGTATTTTCCTTTTTTTTTTGTGTCCATACATAACTTACTCTATAAAAAATTTCATCTCTTGCACACATCATCTCTTACACACATTTGTGCAAAGTTTTCATCTCTCTTATTCTTCTTCATCTCCTTTTTAATTTCCTTGCATTTTCTCTATTTCCATCTCTCTATCTTTGAACATTTTTAAAGTAAAACTCCTATTTGTTGAATTCTATCTGAATTAGGGGCCAGTCGTCCCCCTGTTTTCATCAATCCACCTAAAACAGTGGGTGGCAAGAAACAAAATTTCCCATAACTGCATTGCCAACCATGTTTTGGGGTGGTAAAAAATAAAGACTCGGTGAATAATTGGAATTAAAAAATTCGGACTCGGGCTCCGACTTGCCAAGGTCCGGTGCCCGAGTACCCTCGGTGAGCCCGAGCCCGAGTAGGAGTATAAAATTTTTAATGAGAAAATTTGAATAAAAAGAAAAGCAAAACAATGGGGCACTCAGGCTCTAGAATCGCCCGGATTACAGTTGATCCACCAATATCAACCCAATGGCCCACGTTGATTTAGGTCCAATTGATGGCCAATGTGTATGAATACTCTTTGATTTTTATTTTTATTTTTATTTTGATAATCTAATGGACTTATGATTTTACAAGCATTTATGCTTGACTTAGGTGTACAGAAAAATAAAAAAATAAACCACAAATAGACGATTAAATTAACCCATGCTATTGTACAATGGGGTATGGGTGTTTTGGTCTTTTTTGTGTATTATTGTTTTTATTTTTTGGTGTGCCTAGGTCAGGCATACATGACCTTAAAATTTTAGGTCTATTGGATTTATAAAAAGGTAAAAATAAAATTTTATCTATATATGTTGGCTTGTTGAACGAATCAATTTCAATTGACCTATTCTGTAAGCTTGAGTTCTAATAGAAATCATTTAAGGAAAAATATTGTTAAGACGCAAGCCTTATGAAAAAAAAGGTAGGTGGCACCTCCAAAACCAGCCAAAAAATGATTGTTATGATGCTAGAAGATCGTCAAATATAATATTTCTACGAGTGTGGACTCCTTTTCATAATTCATCTTAGAGATGGATTTTGTATCTAAAATTTAATAGGTCAATAATCTTGACCACAAAATCATGAATGCAAGAAAAATAAATTCCATATTCTAAGAATAGATAATTTAAACATTATCTTTATTTTTTTTGAGAGTTCATTTTAATGGTTTTAAAATAATTCATTTTTAAAGATTAAACTGATGTTGTCAAATTCATGATCTCAAACTCATCTCTTGGATGGACTTTGGAAAGAGATTGATTATGAAAAGTTATGATGTAATTTGTGAGAATTAACATTGTCGCTCGCTATGTCGTCCATTTTACTTTATATGATGGCTTAGGTGACGAAGGTTTTCAAAGTTTGAGATCCTAAATCTGAGCATGTATAATGTGCTCTCATGGGAACATATTATACACTTACTCTTGCCAGTGAAAGAGCTGTTTGGGAGGAATTTTTTGGGTATAAAATTTTGGGATTCACCTGAGAATCAATAAAATTAGTACCTAAAAAGAAAAAATTTTGAGTTCTTTAACACTTAGATTTCACCTTCAAAGATTAGATCGTCTTTGTTCAATTTTAGAATTCTATGTCTTTTCGGGTACACACATAATGTGATTCAAAAGTTCTCTTTTTTACATAACTTTTGACGCAGGGAATTCCTTTGCATAACACGGATATGTCATCTCAATATCAGTCCAAAAGGGTACTCTTTGGAAAACATGCTGGTCAAATAAAAGGGGAAGTGGTTGGAGTTGCAGGGCACTACAGCATGATGTTTTGAATTTAATTTATGCTATGGATAGATAACCTTTATCTCACTAAATTACTTAAAAAAAAAAGAAAAAAAAATTCTTGATGCCTACATTAACTTTCTAGGCATGTCCCTCTCCCCCGACAAAGGAAAACATTTGAAACTATATTATAGATTTTTTTTTTTCATCCACCCTCAAGTCAAAAGTTGTTATTTTTTTTTTTAAAAAAGAAAATCATATTTAAAAGACGTTTTCCTTTGTTTTTTTTGTTCATATTGAAACTAGTCCGGCAAAAATACATGCTAGATTGGTTTCGTTATAACAAAGAAGTTGGTCTGACGCAATGTGTGTCGGATCAGCTTGTCCCTATTGAAGCCAGTCTGGCACACATTGTGTCAGACCGGCTTCATTATAAGTAATGAAGCCGGTCTGGCACAATGTGTGCTGGACCGGTTTCAATAGGGACAAGCTGGTTTGGTATATATTGTGTTGGGCCAGTTTCATTAACGGCTTCAATAGGGATCCGAAAAAAAAAAAAAGGAAAATGTGCTTTAAAAAGAGAATTTTTGTCAAAAAAAAAAAAAAAAGCTTCTTTACTTTGGGGTGGTCGAAAAGAAAACACAATAATAATATTTTTGTGAGGTTGATAATGTGATATCAAAAAATTTGGTGAGGTTACATGCCGAAAAAGTTGGTTTTGAGGGGATTTGATAAGGAGAATTGTCAGATACGTCCAAGTCAACATCTATCACCATGCGGGCTTGGACATTTACACCATCCACCAAAGAAAGTGTATATCTACATCATAAATAATAGTCCTAAAGAAAAGGTAAAATCAATAAAAAAAAATATCGTTTATAGTTTTAAAAATTTATTTATATATGCCCTAAATTAGAATTTAATTCTATTTCAAAAATAAATTATTAAGGGGCCCTCATTTCTACATGTGAGTTCGTGGATTCATAGAAACCGTGTCCTCTTGATAATTGTCCAAAAAAAAAAAACCTCAATGATCTTATTCTCCGAGCACTTGTCTAATCAAGGAAATGGCCACGCCACCTTGGTTAGGAAAATGGACGATCCAGATGGGCAGGGCACATGGGAAGCTGCTTCACCATGACTACATGCTCAATTCCCCAATAAAACAATTTAGTTTAACATAATAAAATGAGGGCTTGGGTAATTCAATGGGGGAAGATAGCCCTATCCGTTTTTTTTTCAAATAGTTTAATAGTTATTTTTTAAAAGTTTTAGTGGGTGATTTTAGTGGGAATAAAACTTTGACTAACGTGTAAGGATGCTACAACCATTGGGAATTTGGATTGCGTACCCACTAAAATCGATCTAGATTTGCCATTCTATAAAACCTTGAAATTATATTATGTATGAGTGTGAGAATAGTACTCACTTCCAATATCTACTTGGTCTTCTCGAGAGAGTAGACATGAGGAATTGTTATGGCGGCTCGAAAAGCCTCAAACAATTCATTTCAGATTATCTAGGGATGACATCCAGACTCGAGTAACTTTTGGGTCCAAGATTTTGACTTAGACCCATCAGTTGGGTTCAATTTTTGAACCCATACCTGGATCTAGATCGGGTTTAGCCTCTAGGTCCCGATTTTGGTCTGGGTCCATTGCCAACCCTGGGGTACCAAACATTGTACTCAGCTGGAATCTGACCCACAAATGCCTTCTGCAGTTGCTGCGGCCCCCTCATTTGAGCTCTTTGAGTCCTGTATGAACCAAGTGAAGCATTCCTCCAAATCCTTCGCCGCGCTCCTCCTCTCTCTGATGCGTGCTGCTCACTGGGACATTGCTGCTGCTGTCCGCTCCATTACTGGTGGCGCTACCACACTCTCCACTGCCTCTGCCCGTCTCGCCGTTGAGTCCTATGTGTGCTGCAAAATGTTTCAAGGCTTCGAGAACGAGTCTTTCTACATATCCGGGATGCTGTCTTGCCTTTTGGAGCCAGAAAAGCATAGACAAGACTGTTTCGCTCAGTTTAAAGCCATGCTCTCCCTCGACCCACCGGAACTTCTTAGCTTGTTGTCCGAATCGTTGTTTGGAAAATTTTCAGCTAAAAAGTATATGAAGATTGTGCACCCAAAGATGGAGGAGGCGTTCTTCGGGGGGCTTGAGCAGAGGCGCATGGTGGCCTCTGGTAAGCACCCCAAGACCGAGTTTTACAGCGAGTTCTTGGTCCTCGCGAAAGCGGTCTGGATGCTTCATCGACTCGCATTTGCTATGGAGCCATTGCCGAGTCAGTTTAGGGCAAGTCGAGGTGCAGAGTTCCACCCCGAGTTCATGGAAAGTGTCGGGGGAATTCCCGGCGGGGTTTCAGGCGGTCTGGTGTCATTTTCCGTGACCCCAGGTTTCAAAATTGGGGGGTTTGTGATCAAAGCTAGGGTGTGCCTGGTCTCGAGAAAGTGAGGGTGGAGAGGAGGGCATGGCGGATATTATGAGACTATTTTGAGGGTACATCTGGGACATGAAATCAAGAGTTTGGCCTAGAGAGGGTGCGAAAAGATATTAGGCCGGAATGTTCAGGGTATTTGGGTAATTGTAATTGGGGATTTCGTGTTTTGTTGGAGGTGGGGATACCGTGTTTGATATTAAGATAACTGTAGGTCTTAGAATAATATATGACAAGGTCACTTTTTTTGTTTTTTTTTTGAGTAAATAGCACCCAAGTCCGGTTGGGTCTGGGTCCGATAATATTTTTTGGGTCTCAATGAAATATATCTAAATATAGTTTAATATACGGATAATTTAATTTTTGGGTATGATTTGGGTCCCGCGCTATATTTTGGGGTCCGGCTCAAGACCCAGACCCGACCCTACCCAACTCATTGCCACCACTAGCCATGGAGATGAATTCAAAATTCGTCTTGCAATTGAATTTTCTTTCGGCAGATTGTCAGCAAAAGAGAGATCAACTATATAAATTGCATTACGAAGTTAGGATTCTCTATGTTAGAATGACAATGAGGAAGAAATCAAATTTAGCTAAATCGAGGGCTATTATTGCATGGTGATAATCAAAGGCGCCATTCCTAAGAGGCTTAGTAGTATATGTTAGGGAAATCTTTATACGTCGTGTTACCCACATTTAAGATATAAGTCACTCCTATTCCCAGCCATTTGATCTAAGTAGACGGCTGGGATGGCTCAAATCTCAATGTTACTAGTATACTATTTTGTTTTTTTTTTTCTACGATTCAATCCTGTAATTTTCAAGGGTAAACTAGTCTTTTCAATATATATATATATATATATATCAAGTCCATCCTTAAAGTGTGCGTTCCCCAAATTTTACTGCAACATAGTTTATGATATAAAACTAAATATAAAATTATTTTAAGCCATCATATTAAGATCAAATTCTCAAATGTTAAACATGTGATGTTATACGCGAAGTTATCACAGCCGTCCATTTTAATTAGATGGTTTGAACTAAAAGTCGATACTTATTTTCATATGTGGGTGGCGTCACATGTAGAGTTTCCCGTAGAGACTCTATACGATCCTCAACTTTGGATGTGTTTCATTTAATAAATGAAAACCTGTTTGGACTGTTGAACAATGCAAACAACGTGATAAAAGTTATTTATAATTGATGATAGATTTTATTTTTAAAAGTAGGGACACTTTATAAGCGTTTTGTTAAAATAACCTTGGTTACACAATTGTCATCCTTTAATCTATGCCCCTTTTCACTTCAACTTGATGCAGTAAATCAATGACAATCTTCCCAAACATTGGATCCGTAACGCGGCTTACAATTGTGTAGCGGTGGCAATGGACCCGGACCTGGGTCGAGTCCGGGTCCGGGTCCGGGTCCATGCAGACCTGACGCGAATAGTTTTAATATTTAAATAAGATTTAACATATAATATTTTTAATAATATTTAAATAATATATTTAATATATATATATATATATATATATATATATTATTTTTATTTGTTTATTTTTTATTTTTTTTGGGTTGGGTTCAATCGAGTTTGGGTCAGTCCAGTCGGATCTGGACCTGGCCCATTGCCACACCTACAATTGTGACCATTAAATAATGGAGAGGACCGAGATAGGCCATTTGCCCTTTTTCATGTGAAGAGTTTTTAATTTTTTCTGAAGGGAAACGGTGTCAATTAATCATATGGATATACAAATTTGTCTTTTATAGACAAATTAAAAATGATAATAATAGAAACTAAATTGCAAATACCTAAACTATACCCAGAGTAACCATAAAGTACTGATACTCTACAAACCCTTCCTATATATATTGATTACAATATACACTTTATATATTAATCAGATATGCAATAAATATTTTCCTTTCACATTTTCCCTCAAATTCAAGATGTTATGAAAAAGAGCAGTTGGAGTTTGAATACCTAATCACATAATCAAGCTGTTGGATCTTTAGGATTGCTCGATCCACAAGCAAATAAAGCAGTTGCGAATCAACAAGCCTCGAGAACAGATGGCTTCAGGAACTGTTGAAAAAGATCAAACAGATCAGAGAATCAAAACACGACTCGACAGAAATTGCACCGATTGGGTAAGCAACAAATTCGTCTTGAAAATCGGCAACAATGCTTCAGGGACGAGGAATAGACAGAGCTAAGATGAATCTGGCTTTGATACTATGTGAAGAGTCTCAGATTTCTCTAAAGAGACTCAGGGGGAGTGTGAAAGGAAAGTGTATTAAGTTAATATAGAAAATATATATTGTAATCAATATATACGGGAAGGGTTAGTAGAGTATCTATACTTTATGGTATTTGTGATTTAGTTTATATTATTCTCATTTGTAAGTTGTCTATAGAAGACAAGTTTGTATATTCATATGATTAATGAACACTCAGTCTCTTCAGAGAAACCTGTGACTCTTCAAGTGGTATCAGTGCGAATTCTTCACATGGTATCAGAGCGAGGTTCATCTTAGTTGTGTTCATTCCTCGTCCCCGAAGCCTTATCGCCAATTTTCAATACGAGTATGTTGCTCGCCCTGTTGATACAACTTTTGTCGAATCGTGTTCCGACTCTCTGCTGAGTCATGTTTCGACTCTTTTATCTATCTTCTCTACTGAGTCATGTTTCAACTCTCTGATATATGATATGTCTTCTATGTTGAGTCATGTTTCGACTCTCTGATATGTTCTCTCTGTCGAGTCATGTTCTACTCTCTGATTTGTCTATATGCCGAGTTGTGTTTCGACTCTTTGATTTGTCTCTATGCCGAGTCGTGTTTCGACTCTCTGATCAATTTGATATTTTTCAAGAGTTTCGAGATCAGGGGCATAATGTAGATGGAAATAGCAAGAAAAAGCTAGAGAAAATAGGAACACAAAAAAATTAGTTATAAATAGTTCTGAATAAGTAAAAATTCATAATTAAAAGAAAATATAAGTTAAGAATCTCAATAAACTAAAGCATGAGTAGTAATAACAAATTTTATAGAAATTATAAATTCATCCAAGATTATTAAAACAAATTATTTATATATTAAAATATTTCAGACTCTCCAAGACCCATTAACTGGTATAAGAGTTTAAGCTACTAGCTTGACTTGGCCTAACCACGTTTTCAAATCATGTCTACACCTTTGAAAAATAAAAAAAGAAAAATAACATATAAATAATATGTACTAAGAAAATTCCCAAAGCATATAAAAACAATCACAATGATATAAAAATGTAATCTCATATCATATTAGAGTAATTTTTAACAAAAAAATTACATTTTTTTAAATAATTTTAGTACAACAAATTGCTCAACTAAGTTATAGGATAAGGGCAAATTGCTCAACTAAGTTTGATTGGACTAGGAAAGGGGTTGGGTCATGGTGGTAGTACCCCCATACCCAGCCAAACGAAAATGAAGAAATGATAAGGAAAAAAATATGGCAGGCTCGGTTGAAGCGGGTTGGCAGTGGCCGTAGTCTGACCCTCGAGCCACAGGTTGTGGCCAAAGTCCTGCTTTTTTAGGGCCAGGCTGGGCGGCCTGGACAATTGCCAGCGCTACCAGCCTGATTCGGAACTAATACAAGTTGGCCTAGGTAACAGCAAGTGGGGACCCGGCAAGCCCAAGGCCCAGCCGGAGCCCTGTATTTGAAGTTTAAACACTGAATTGGACTCGAGGGCCACAATTGTTATTTTGGCAACACACTTTGGGCACTTCTGGCATTCTCAATTTTTGGGGTGATCTTGTCATAGTTGGAAAAGAATGGGACCCTTTCTAATATTTCTTCTCATTCTCATATATAAAAATCTCAATCCTCTGCGGCTTTTCGCGCTCAGAAAATCATTTGGCCATGGAGCTCAACTCAAATAATGCCTCAGGTTCTTTTTCTTCTTTGCCCTAGTTTTTTGCCAGTCTTTTATTTTGGAGGAACAATCTTATTGTGATGATTCGTTTTTTCGTCTTATTATTCAGTGGTAAATTTTTATTCTTCTTCTTTTTTGTAATTCTTACTGTTATTCTCCTTCTTAATTGTTGATGTTATTGTGAAAAATTTCAGTATAAATGTTAATTTTTATCCATTTCTTTTCCTTTTCGTTCTGTTTTATTCCATTATTCATTGTCCTCTTATTGTTTTTATTTATTTATTTTATTTAATATATATGTGGTTTCTGGTGCTTATTTTATGTATTCTGATTCTTCGTAGCCTTGTTTTTGTCTTCTGCTAGTTTTGTATTCTTTTACTTGTTATTCTTCTCCTTAATTGTTATTGTTAACTGGAAAGTTTCAGCTTTTTTTGGCCCTTGTATTTTCTTGTGCATTTTTTTTTTGCTTTCTGTTCTTCTGGACATTGCTGCTGTTGATGATTGATGTCTTGTATTATGAGGAAATAGATCTCTTAAGGTAGAGTCAAAAGGACAACTCCGGAGCAATACTTTAAAAAATGGTCTGCTTGATGCCTAGACGGCCTGGACCAAAAATCCGTCTGCCTAGACCCAGGCGGCCCTATACGGGCAGGCGTCTGCGTGCTAGGCGGGTGCCCAGGCGGATGTACCTGGGTGGGCGCTCGGTGGGCTAGGCGTTTTTCGTTTTTTTTAAATTACGGGGCGCTGGAGGTTCTGGGCTCCCGCCAAGGCATTGGGCACCAGGCAGCCGAAGGCTTGAGGGTACGTCGAAAATTTTTGGATATATCCGTACATGGGATTTGATATATCTGGGACTCGATATATATCCGTACAAGGGTATTTTGGTAATTTGTACTATCTATCTGGGACAATCAGAGAGACGTAAGGAATATAGCTATTGTAACCCTATTCTCCATTGCCAGTAAATAAGCTATCATCTCCTGTAGACGTAGACACATTGCCGAACCACATATATCCTTGCGTTGTGGTTGGTTGTCTCTTTCATTTGTATTGGGTTTCTTCTTTCTTGTCTCGTGGATTATTATTCGTTTTCAACAACTGCTATGTCTAGTTAGAGTCTTTTAGGTTAGTCTCTACTCTTTTGTTTCTTATTATTCTTGGTTGGGTATTGCTTGTTCTTCTTATTGTCTTCGTGACATTTTTGGTTATTTTTCATGAATAAAATTCCAGGTTACCTTGTGTCCTGAATCTTTGTTTTCCTGAATTTACAGTCACTGGTGATTATAATCTTTCAGCTAAGTCTGTGTCCTAGTCTTTTGTATTACTCTTCCTATTCCTGCAAATTTGGCGTGTTGAAGCTACCCCTTTTATGTTATTAGATATATATAAGCCTCCAATCCCCATAATCTTTTCCTGATGGATAAAGTCCTTATCTTGATTTTAATCAATAACGAATGAAATCAGTTTTATTGTTCTTCACTACCAGGGTTTTCATGTTCTGAATACATGCTCAACTGATTCTATTTTAAAAATGATAAAGGATAATAATCTTGTCTGCGTTTGACACTGCTTCTAAAAGAATAAAGTTTTTAACAATGCGTTCTCTGAATGTACCCATGGATCCTGACATATCTATATCCAAATTCCAAAAGTCATATGTTAGTTAGACAAGAAAAAAGCCAATTTAGAAAACAGATACTAGTGTCCATGTATGGACACATGTGGGTCCAGGATTCTGGACAAGCACAAATACGTTATGAACACAAGCGTCTGAGTTTGGCTGTTGATGTGTAATTTTCATAAGGCACTAGTGTTTTAAAAACTTGAACGCGGTGGCCCACTTGGGTACTGCCAAACTACTCGCTGAGTTGAACAGTAAACTCGGAAAACAATTGTTTCAGTATTCTAGACTATGTAAAACACTTTAAAAATAACATGTTTTGAGTGAGACAATCCTTATTTGTCAGCAAAGCAAAATTACTCTCTTGCCGCTCTGCTAAATTTCTTTTATGTACTAAAAAACAGAGGAAATACATAGAGCAAAAAAACTAGTTAAAATCCCTTTTTTTCACTTATAAAACAAGATCAGTGGGCGAGGTGAGTTGACTTGGCGAGTTTTTTGGAGTTGAAACCAGGTTTTCAATCACTTTGAGGAACACAGTTTATGCATACTTCTTGCATATGTGGGTCATTAATGAAGGCTCCCACAATGTCATTAGGTGTTCTAGTTGCAAGTCTCCTATGCCGTGGAGTTTGGTGGCTTTATTTGCAGAGGGCCTTGAACTTTGCTACCCTTAGCTTGTTTCTTTCTATCACATTCCCTTGAGGCCAATGAGTAGGTTGTTTTTTTGACTAGAGATATTTTTAGTCGCCTCTTGTGATATGAAAGACTACCAACTTACATAAAGTTTGCTTCCTGAAAAGGAAGCTTAGAACAAAAAAGCCCTGCAATTACAGTGGGCTATGAAACAAAATCAACACAAGAAAAGTTGGCCCAGGGAGATGGGGGGGTTTGTAAGAATACACTCTTTTTTAAAAAAGAAAGACTATAGACTGTTCCTTTCTGGCATGGGTGCTGTAATTGCTCTTCATGAGCAAGGTTTAGTATTTAATGACCTATGAGTGGTAGAAATACCTCATTTTATGCTGAGTTGAGGGAGACTAGATTATTATTGTGGCTTATTTACTAGTTTTAATTAAGTATTTAATTTCCGGGATTGTATACAATGAGACCATTTACCTTTGATACAAGGTGGTCACAATTACTCACAGCCATCCGATGTGAAATTTGATAGCCAGGATGAGTCACAAAGTTCGAAATTTTTTTTTGAAGTTTGAGCTTGATCAATGGAATAATTGCAGCCACCCAATTTCACATCCAATGGTCAAGAGTAACATGACCCCCTTGTACCAAACGCAAATGGTCTCATTCTATGCTTTTCCGCACTTCTAGGATTCCCAAAAAATAGGTTGATTTGTAGCCTAATGGTTTTTTCCTTCACCTTCGTCTCCTTTCTCCTGAGCAGTGGTGCTTTTTGAATGAGTAAGTTTGTTTCTCCTAGAGAAAGGCCTAGAAATTTGGATATTCTCCCACAGCATCAAATGCGGTCCTTAACACCTTCCTAAACCATGGTTACTTTAATATTATATTCTGTACTACTTCCTGTTACTTTCGTAACTCAGGTTGTGACAGTGGAAGGAATTGAGAATGACATTACTGCTAGATGTTTCTTCTTTCTAGCTTCAATTATTGTAAATTGTACACTAGTTTTCTTTGTCTATGTACTCTCTTGCTGATTTAATGTACTTATCACTGATGAGAAAACTAAATTGCAATCTGAGTTAGACTCAACGTCTTTGTATTGTCAAAATTTCCATCTATTTCATACCATAATTCTTCTTCTTAAACATTATTGTTATTGCTTGTTTACAGACTATTTCATTGTTAATTTTTATTAAAATAGTCAACGACACAATTGTTTTTATTGTTGTTATAACAGAGACTCTGTTGAATCAGTTGAGAAGTGGAAAGGCCAGGTTCGAGATTGTTGATCAGTTTCCTCATCCCCTTGTTGAGAAGCCAATAGCCAGAATCTCCTCGACATTATTGAACTGTTCCCGGTTCTTTGCTAGAATTGAATTTCCATTGTACATTCTTTGGCAACTTTCCTTTGAGCATGTTCATGTGTGTGTGTAGCAAGAATTCCTGTGCTTTATTTCTCTTAGTATCTCAGTGGATTATTCATTATCTTTCTCTAAGTTTTCATTTGCTAGTATTTGTCACTTTAATTTTAAAAAATCAATGTCCCCTCTCATGTTTGAATAATCTGAGGTCTTTTTGTTGTTATTGTCTTCGGCTCTTTTGCTTCTTTATTTATTTTTATTTTTGTTGGCTTGTTTAAGTTTACATATGAGCACCTTAACTTATTCTATTTACTTTTGCTAGTTATTTCTTATACTTTTCTTATATTTGTATTTCTTTTTTAGGCAATCAGAGCAGTAAATTAGTCTTTTCCTTGTCTTCATTTGTATCTTATTTAATTTTGTATATCTGAGTTCGAAAATATTTATCTTTTGTTATTTTCCTAGTTCCTTCCCATTCAATTTCTTAGCATGTCTACTATTTAAAAACGTTTATGCAATCCAAGCATTAGTAACTACTTCGTTTAGGTATGGGCTCAAGATTAGGTGGTCAGGGTGGTGGCGAGCCGCAACATGACATATTGAGTTCTATACCTACCATGGGTAGGTGACCCTTTCCTCGTTCAACTACCCCAAACCAAAAAAAAACTAGTTTTCTGTGTGTGTGGGTGTGTGTTCGCTTGTGCATGCATGTGTCAAGTGTATTCATTGGTAGGATTCAAGCACATAATAACTTTACTCTTTTCTGATCTATTTTTCTAGTTATTACTGTATTTCTAATTTCTTCAGTTAGGGCTTCAGGCATGGGACAACGCAAGCAACGAAGAAAGTTGAGCATCATGCCATCCAGAAAGTCACTGGAGATGGACGTTGTTTGTTTCGGGCCCTGGTTAGTTTGTTTGTGCTGGTTATTCTAATTTCCTCATCCTCCACATTATTTTTTGTGATTTGGACTTTGCTGGAATTCGCATTGCCTCAATCCAAAAGCATGATGATTCTAACCTATGGTCAATCTAACATATAAAAAAAGGTTATCTATCCTCAATCTTTCCATGTTGTTTGCTTGTCTCAATTTGATGACCTTTACAAAACACTTGCTTATTAGGAAAAAAACATTAGCACTTTCAGGAGTGCTTGGAAGAAACTTCGATCCCATGCATTCCATGCATGGTTTGGTCCTCATTCTTGATCATAAGTAGATAACTCGAAGGTGAGCAGTTATGTTTTCTTCTATTATAAATCTATCCAAGAGACATTTCTTAAGAAAGAATCTTTTGTCTCTTTCAATTGGTCTGATATAGAAGTTAAGTTTCCTGTAATCATTTATATCTGTTATGCATAATCTTTGAATTGCCTTTTAATTCTATTAACCTCAGATATGAATTTTTAACCATGTTTAGGTTCATTTATGTCGTTTGTTATTGTATAGAGCGGGTGCTCTAAGGGAACAGTTTAAAAATAGTACACTGTATGTGGTCATTTGCATCCATGTGCATCATTTGTGTTACTAACTACCAGTTGTTGTCTTTTTGAATAAGCAATTTAAATGGTTTCAATGAATTATTTCATTGCATTATTGAATATATTTAGAATGTAGGCAGGCCCTTCAGCATGCTGGACCATGTTTGTGTGAGAACTTGAATTTGGCATCCATAATATGTCCTTGTTAGTTAAATACCACTTTCTCTATCCATGAAACTTACAAATTATATACTCTACTCATTTTGTCCATGCACGGTTGCCAATTGCCATGATGGTAATCTAAGACACTTTCCTGTTGAAACTGCCATGCATATTGGTTCCAAGATATGTGAACATCGTATTGTGGATAATAGGCCTATGTTGAGTTATAACATTTTCTATTAATAAGTTGCCTTTATAACATTTCTCGGGTTTATGATGAGATTCAGGTTTTCTTGGTCTTGTGATCTTTCTTGAAGAAAAATTAAACTCTGATATATTGTTACTGGATACCAATAGGTAAAAGGCATGGCCATTAACAAGGGACTCACACTTAACCCAAGTGATGAAAGAGATGATGCAGGTATTTCTTTGGGGAATCTGAGTACATCTTCATCCTAAATCTATATAACATAATGATAAGAGCTATCTGCTTATGCTAGTATTCCTTAGAGTAATGCTTCATTGTAGTCATCACCAGCATTTAAATATTACTGTAAGTTAGAAATGACCTTCCAAGTTTAGATAGTTCCCTTATAAGGTTCACTTTATAAGTTTGTTTTGATTGGTCACAGCTTTCTATGTTTTAATGGGAGTTGTAATGGGATGTGTTGACTTTTGGTTTTCTTCGAACTCGTAAACTTGGTCTTGAAGTCCAAGTATGGAAGTTTGCTTATAAACACAATATATTATCTGGAAAGATGATCTTCTTTTCTTCTTTAGTTCAAACTCAAAGAAAGGTTCTATATATTAATTTTTTTTTTTTTTTCCTTTTGTGTTTTTTTCTCAAAAAAATCCTGAAGGTTAAATCAAAATTTTGGAATTTCCCTGATAGACCATGTTGCATAGAATTACTTGAAAACAAACTTCATCACTATGGTATGAAGCATTGGGGGGGGTCCAAATTAGCTTCATGATTGTCTTTCCAGGTTTTTTGTCACCGTGAACATGTGCAAAATCAAGCTTTCATTGCAACTGAAGCACCCCAATTTTTTTATTGTTGCTGTCAAACTATGTTACAGGAACCAATACCCATGTCATCATCTGACACGGTATGCTTCAGAATTGTGAACCTTAAAATAGTGCATACGCCATTTAAAGGAAGGGGAGGTGGGATTTTAACTGAGATTTGTAATATTCATGGCAGAAGTTTCTGAGTTTTTTAAGTATTAGACATGCAGGTTGTGTCCTTAGTGGGTTGACATATGGCAGAAAACATGGACATACATGTCCAAGTGACATAGCTGTGAACTTGTGGAAGATCCCATATTCATAGCAACTGAAACTTTAAATTTCCTTGCACTATACTTTCACATTGGTGAGCAGTGCAAGGGCGCATAAAATGTGCAAATAAAAATTCATTGGTAGCATGTTTATATTCAAGAAACAAAACTATCAGCTTTTGGCATTTCAAAGAACACATATTTTTAGTGTTTCCTTTGATATGGGGTATTTTTCTCATCTACACATCCATGGTTGCTAAATTTTCATTGTTAAAGGGTTTTTATTCAACAATGGAAACAATGGGCTTTTCTATCTTTGCTTAATGCTGATATTCTTCACAATTATGCATCATGGTCTCTGAATATACATAAAAAGTTTATATATTCAAGAACCAAACCAAAGGCCTATTAGCATTCTAAAAAATAATCAGTTTAGCTTGCCTTTGTATGCAGCATGGACGGGGAATTAACTGCTAGCTCTAGTTTGAAGATACTTTTTGCCTGCATTCAGTTATTTGGTATTAATCTGTAGGATACGTGCTGTTTTGAGGTAGATACTTATTCTTGTTGGAAACAAAAACAAAATTTCCGTTATTTTACCATGCTTTTCATTGTGAAGCTTAAGATACTTTTGTTGTCTTCTATTTGTGTTTTATTTGCTCCTTAAGAAACTAGTTTAAAGGAGATTATCATTTGCTTAACAGAATAATTAGATATGTTGCAGATGAGCTTCGAATGGCTGTGAAAGAAATTATATGTACGAGCAATAATGAACGGCATCTATATGAAGAAGCATTGATATCAATTACTGTTGAACAATCTCTGAAAAGGCAAGTGCATATATCTACATCTCTAAGATTATATACATAGACATCAAAGTACCTCCTGGTATGTGCCTGTGTACGCATGTTTAACTGTTGGACTGGAGTGCCAGGTTGGTCTTAATTTTCCTCCTCTCAATAAACTCACAAAATGTGCACAATATATGCCTATGTGTGTTTCCTTGTTCTGCCTTTTGATCGATGACTGTGGGTTTAGACACACAATATTGTGGAGTTCCTTTAATGAAATGATTTTGAGATTGATAGATACTTAACCCCTCACATTATAGGTACTGCCAGCGGATTGAACATTCAGATTTCTGGGGAGGAGAGTCTGAACTATTGGTATGCACTATGTATTTTATTACTTGATAATTTCTGTGGTTATCATAATTTGCCTATTTTGCTTGCCATTGGCTATCTTCAGTCATGAAGATAGGTTCAAAACAACACCGAGCCTATGTTCGTAGGAAAAAATTACAAAAATGAATAGTTGACGGATTAGTTTTCTGACTCTTGCGAAGCCTGCTCTCATGGTGTTTGTTTTGGCACAATGTCACAACTTGTTCATTTGCAACAGGTCTTGTCGAAGCTATGTTGCCAGCCAATTGTCGTTTACATACCAGAACATGAGGTAATAACTTTTTAGTTTTCTATCTGGAATGTTTCCTTTCAAGATGAAAATTTTGGACTATGAGGAGGCAAACAAGGATATTTATCCCTTTGTTTTGCCTCCTCTTATAAATGAAATCATTTAAAGTAGGTAGGGGTGGCAATGGTCCTGGATCCGACCTGGAACCTGCTAGGTATACCCGTCATGGGTCTGGGTATGGGTCCAACATTTGGATCCGGTGGGTCGGGTCTGGGTCTGGTTGGACCCGACCCGTACTTGTAAACTGTTGGAGATAAAATACTTTAAGCCTTATTTGTTTGGGTGTATTAAAAAGACTGTATACAATAAAAACTCGTAGTCAACTTTAGCTATTAAACGACAAATCAGACGGTTTGAAATCTAATAGTGGGTGATTGTGACCTTGTTGCCAACAAAATTATAATAAAAAAAGGGCAAAAAAAAAAAAGAAGTTCAGAGTGACAGTGGCACTGGACTTGACCAAACCTGAGACCCAACAAGTACGGGTATGGGTCCAAAAGTTGGACCCGACGAGTTGGGTCCAGGTCCAAAACCTAGACCCAAATACTATTCGGTCTGGGTTCAGGTCCAGCCTGACCCGACCTGTTGCCACCCCTAAAAGTATGAGAGAAATGACTAATTGAGAGGTGTAAATATTTCAGCATAGAATGGGGAGATGGGGAAATGGTTTCATTCCCATTGTTGAGTATGGAGCTGAGTATATGAAGGCATCCAAAGGTGGTAAACCCCGAAAGGTTGTCAGGCTGTTATATACAGGTGGAAGTCACTATGATCTTCTCATTTGAGATGTAATTTATGTATGTATTACTCTCACTTATCAGAGGCTTTAACATTTATACTGTCTCGCTCTTTAGAGCTTCCTATAATTTGGGAGTTCAATTCTCTGAGCGTTATCTCCACCTTTTGGGGATCTTGATAACTGGTTTTTCAAGGATTACTCTATGATACAGGACTCATCTTCTTGATCTCTACAACTTTTCTTAGAAGGTATGCATGTGCCAAGTTTAACTCCTTATTGATTTCTTTTTTATTTTGAGTTTTTTTAAAGAGGCCCTTTAGTGATAGCAATTGATATTGGTCATGAAGAAAATTAATTTCGTTTTTCATATTCATAATTGTAGTGGTCTTGGTCGAGATAATTGAGAATTGAAAATTTGGACGGAGAAATTTTATAAGGGTGAGGCCCTAAACAATCCAATTAAGGCGCGCCTTAAAAATTCACTAGAAGAGGTTGTTTCAATGCCCAAATTTTTTTAAATTGATCATCTTGACTTCAAGATGTATGGACATGATAAAAAATGGATTTTAAATTTTGAAAATAGTGCATATTGTCATGCATGTTCTAGACTGTCAATTTTCAAGAGTTTTCAAATGTTCATAGATCTGTTCGATCTACACTTGTTAAGGTCTAAATTTTATAATTAGAGATGAAAATGAACTTTAAGGCCATCATAAACATTTTCAGTACTGAAATAACATCTTTCAATATTACTTGAAAGTATTTCTTACTTTGATTCTTCAGGGCCTCAACTTTATATGCCAATTTGGATTCAAATTTCATCTCTAAGATATATTTTGGAAAGCCAGACATTTGAATAAGTACGTCCAAATACACCAAAACCCTAACAAAATGTAGATGAGTTGTGATGAGCCTTTTGGCAGGGGGCTTGGGCAGTAAGGTGGTATTGGATTATCCACCAACACAAAATAGATAAAATGAGAGGTCCAACGACATGTTGGCTCAAGATGTAAAAATGTGCATCAAAGGACCATGACTGCGCTTACATTCCTTTCAAAATGGAAATTACCGTAAAAGTCAACATTTTTCCTACTTTGGGCTTTGATTTGGAAAGAAAATGGTCATATCAGGTGTCAACCTTGTATTATAGAAGTAAGGTGCACCTTGAAACTCACTTAAAAGAAAAAGAAAAAGAAAAGTTGTTTTGATGCCAAAAAACCCACCAAGTGATCAACTTGACATTTGGAGATACAGATGTGAAAAAAAAGAAAAAAGAAACAGGGTTTTAAGTACTAAAATTAGTGCATCTTATAATATATTATTTAAACCATCTATTTTCAAGATTTTCAATATTCATAAATATGTTCAATTTACGGTATTTTTAAAGCTTTATATTTCATAATTAGAGATGAAAATAGATTTTCAAACAATCAGAAGGATTTTTTTCATTGAAACATCATTTTGAGTTGCGTCTTACTTTGATTGTTTAAATCTCATCCTCATACAAACCTTAGGCATTTGGAAATAAATGCAATTTCTATAAGACCTAGGCCTTGTGAAAAGAAGTAAAACTTCACCTCGAAACCTCGCATAGAAAATCCCTATGATAGCTCTAAATTCTTTTTTCACCATCGGTTATAAAATTTGTGGCTCAAAAAATCATATAGGTCTTACCGATCACACTTAGACAGTTTAGTTGATGTGTTATTTTATAAACTACTTTTAAGGCTTGAAATTTTAATATTTTTTTACAATTATAATGGTTAAGGTTGAAATGATCAATTTGAAGATTTTTCGACGTTGGAATTGCAATTTTCCGAGTTTTGAAGTAAAACTTTACTCTCTTTTTTTCATAAAGCTTGGGCCTTATTTTAACCTTTTCCTTTGGAAATAAAGTTAAAAAACATGACCTAGGCCAGAACTCACTAGCCTTGAGCCCAAATCCGAATTTACCGAATTGAGTCCTAAAGTTTTGCCCCAGAGCACCAAGGTATGGCAACTTGGGCAAGTCCCGAGTTGATTCGAGTCTCCAATTTTTTAAACACTGTTATGTTAGAACGTAAAAGTTTTAGCCTTGGAGCGATCTCGTTTGGTTAGGGCCAACTTTAGTCGCAATCACATTATTGAAACATAAGTATTTTAGGGCAAAAGTAGAGAGCATAGTTTATTCTGCAGGACCATATTGTATGCTTAGTCGGTCAAGCAAAAGTGTTACAATGAAGAGAACTCTTAACTTGATTGTTGAAGTTTGCAATCTTATCAAACCGCACTCTAAATTCTTTAAGATTGCAATATTATCAAACCGCACTCTAAAAACAAGTATTCATTAAAAGACATATAATTTTAAACTTGGTTGTTAGACCAAATTTGGATGACTCATGTCAGTTCCTTGTAAACCTTGTTTTTAGACAAAATTTGAATGCGACACATGTCAATTCTTTGTAAATTGCCAAAGTCGTGAAAGCTGATATTAGTAACCCGCAAAAATTTTGATATAAAATCCATCTTAAAAGAATCCACCATAGTCGTATCCAAATTTCGATTCCATCATAGTATCTGAAATTTGGATGCTATGGTGGAGATTGTGACCAAATTTGGATGTGACTCATGTCGATTCCTTGTAAATCGCCAAAGTTGTAAAAGCTGAATTTAATAACCAGCAAAAATTTTGATATAAAATCCATCTTAAAAGAATCCATCATAGTCGAATCCAAATTTCGATTCCACCATCGTATCTGAAATTTGGATGCTATGGTGGAGATTGTGACCTTACATTGGTCGGCCACGAATATGGACCAAGTCAAGAGATGTGGTAGGGCCAATTAATAGAGCTAAAACATTTCCAACTCCCGTGGGAGTATACTATCATTTATTCTCTCGGCCATACCACATACTAGGAGTACCTTTTAAATCTTCAATTTTGGGGATGTAATCTCTACACCTCATGAACTAAACTCAATATAAAGAAATTTATGATTTTATGTACTAGAAAAAATTAATGTTTAAAGATTAAACATAGACTATCCAAATTTTTGATGTGCTAGACATAAGTGTCAAAAAAACTCAACATTCAAAATTTTCTTTTGAAAGCAATCATCTAGTAGTTCTTATGTGGTTTCCAAAATTTTAGATTTAAATAATCTTCCTAAATAAGCATTTCGTGCGAGGTAGCTGACACATAGTGTGCTATCGCGGGAGCATAATATACATGCCTATTCACAAGACTCGATAGTTTTCCACGGGAGTTAACATAGGCGAGCATCTTTCAATTATTTATTATCCTTTGTTCGATGTCCTAGGAAAAGCGGTTCCGTGTTTCAATCAAATAAATAGACCTTATCATTATTTTCAATTTGCATCTACCCACTAAAGAGAAAAGTTTATATAGAGCCGAGGCTCTAAACAATCAAATTGCAGCCTACCACAAATTTTTTTTAAAAGAGGTTGTTTTGATGCCCAAATGTCCTCAAATTGATCATCTCAACATCAAAATGTATGAACATGAGAAAAAAAAAAAAGAAGATTTCAAGTTTAGAAAATAGTGTATTTTGTAACGCTTTTTTGGACTGCCAATTTTCAAGATTTTTCATAGATCTGTCCGTCTACACTATTTTTGAAGCTTTAACTTTATAAATAAATATGAAAACATCTTTTAAATCTATCACAAAGATTTCCAGTATTGAAACCACATTTCTCGACACGATTTGAAGGTAGGCTCTAATTTGATTGTTTAAAGCCTAGGGCTCTATAAAAACCACATCCCCGGCTAAATTGTGGCACCTTTCTTTTAGGAAATGTTTCACATCCGTCATATCATCATCATGACATCATCATCATTAGGGTTTGACATCAATTATTTTGGAGTCACCTAACAAAATTAAGTTCTCCCATTCTACTCTATCAAAACCATACTCTTAGTCAAAACCATACTCTTAGTCAGATCATAGGTCGCTATATATCTTCTATTGCTTCAATCTATGTTCGTTCCGTCATTCTACTCTATCAAAAACCACACTCTTAGTCAGATCATAAGTCTATGTATATCTTCTATTGCTTCTATCCATATTATTTTCTACTTTTCTCTTACCTTTTTACATCCTTCACTTAAACCAAATCACCCTTCTATCCACCCCCATTATAGCAAATACTAGGATTGAGTATATAGTTTACTTTCCCCTAAAACTAACTACACTCGCAATAAATGCTTCATGGCTTGTTAACATCAAAAGATAAGCTGAGGGAGAGATAGGGTGGCTGGTACACAAAATCATCATGTGACTGCAATTCAGTCCTTCCCTCATTTCTTCCATAACTTACGCGTTCATCAAGAATACAACCCTTTTTACTATGGGGGTTATAATCACTCCTAGTCATTAGATATTAAAATTGATAGCTTGAACTCTTAGTCATTAGATATTAAAATTGATAGCTTGAAGTGTGTCATGAAGTTTGAAAAGTTTGTTTTTTTTTTATAAGTTTGAGTCTAATCAATGATACACTTAAAACTACCCAACTTAAAATCTAAAGTACAATAGTTATTGTGACTATCTTGCATTGAAGAAAAATCGTGCGGTCTAGCTGGTAACTGCTTTGTTAGATCAGAATCGGCCTCTGGCAGGTTTTGGTTTCGGTCGGTTTTGGTGACCAACCAAGTATGTTTAAAAAACAAGTTTAAAAAATTTATATAATAACCCAAAAAATATGGGATTTTGTTTGTAATGCATTTTTTAATGTTTTCATCATTATGGAAAAGACTGGAAATTGTTTGACAATTAATACTTATTTTTACATTTTCCCATCTTTTTGAAAAATATCAAAAATACCCCCAGCCACAAATTGATTTTTTTCATTAATTTTCAACTTCATTTGGATGTATTTTGTTAAATTATTCTTTAAATATGATTTTCATATTTTATTAGATTTTTTTTTATTTTTTTAACACTTTTTTGATCGATCGGGACTTGCCTGATTAGAACAGTTGAACCTGCCGGTTTATCGATTAGGGCAGTTGAACTGCTTTTTGGCCCGTGTCTGGTTAACCATTCTGATTTGATTTTTTCTACACTGCTATCTTGTATAAAAAGAACTGGTCTTTTTATATACTTTTCTAAGCATAATAGCTAAAAAATGTTTCTCCAGGCTTTACTTCTCTCTTTCTTGTTATCAAACCTTCTTCCACATATGATATTGGCTTCAGCTACTTAAGGAGAAAACTTGAGCTTAAATGGTGTTTCAGAGATCATGCCT